TGAATATAAAAAAAAAAAAAAAAGAGCTATGTGCAAAATATTTTGTGACTTGTATTGTGGCCATTTGAAATAAACCTGTGACTACCAACAAAAATGTAAAACATGAGTCTTATCATGTTATCAATCATTATAAACAAACAACCATGGGCTGTGACTTGTGACTTATGACTTGTGACCTGCGTTGTGACTTGTGACTTTGACTTGTGACCTAGGCTGTGAAAGTACAAAAAAAATCATGTCAACTGTACAAAAAAATATGGCGGAGTTGTCGCCGGAATATTCGCCGGAGTTGGAACAATTGACAAAATCGAAACAGTCGCCGGAATAAATGAACGGCGGAACGGTCACCGGAATCGGAGCAGTCGTCGAAACGGTCGCCGAAATAGTAGGATTTATGATTTTTTTCCCTATTTATTATTATTATTATCTTTCCCTATTATAAATTTAGTATATTCAGGGGTGGACCCAATTCACGCTCAGTGCAGACGAATCGCTGGCAAACACCATCCACAAAAACCCATCCCAAATCACCGTCGAGCACAGCGCCGCACGCAGTTGCTGCAGTAACGCCGCACATGACGAGGCTGTCGTTGCCCCGGTGCACGACGTTGCTGCTATGGCGATGGTATGGTGGAGACGAGAGAGACGAGAGGTAGAGAAAGAAGGGCGCGCGGGCGTTGTTGGGTGGAGTGAGAGAGACGAGAGACGAGAGGTAGAGAGAGAAACGGTTGGGGGAAATGATGTGAATGGAGGGTGTGGACGTAGATAGGCTAGGTTTATAAATTAATTTAATTTAATAATATATTTATCTAATAATAATATATTATTTAACAAGACATTTGATTTTTGAATAGTGAAACTTTCCATCTTATTTTAGAATACTGAATTTATAAAGTAGGTGGTGATGTAATTTCCACGTAAAAAGAATTCTTCGAGGCATAATTGTGTTAAACTGGTGGGTGAATGCTAGCAATTCTTAAAGCCAGCTAAACTGTAAGGTATGTAATCTAAATAGAGACCCCACCAGTGGCCCTTGAGCTTCTTCTGCTATATTTACTAATCTTTTTTGCTGGTCTCCTCACCTGCAACCTACCACCCACCTAGTTGAATTTGGACCCCAACCCATCCAGTTAATACAAAAAATTTCAACACTATTAACTATTGATGGTACCTTTTGTAGGCATTTACACCTACTTTTTCAGCTCTCTAATTGGAGAAATGAAGAAAATTAGGTAACCTCACAACTTCAGTAAAAAGACGATCGTTGTTATTTTAAGACCTTTACTAATATCATCCGCACCGACAAAAATTCATGGATCCACTGCTGAGTGTATTGACATTTTCTCAATGTTAATTTTGAAAGAAACGAAATTGGATTGATGTAATTGTTACCTACAATTGAAATTCGATTTTGCTACGGGTACATCACGGTGTACACCCCTCTCACATGGGGGTGGGGTACACACAAATAAAAAAAATATTATTTCAGTGGGTCCCACACACCATGTGAGAGAGGTGTAGACCGTGATGTACATATCTTGATGTACAAGTAGTATTTTCCATTTT